TAAACTACTTAATTGTTGCAAGTATTTAATCGAGTAACAATCAACGTTTCAATTTGTTTTAGTTTTTGTGCTGTGTCAACTGTTTCGAATCTTAATCGTCTTATTAATCGCTTGCATTGCTATTGCTTGTTGAACAAACTTTGTTTATTTGCAAGTAATGTCAACAAAAAGTATGATAAATGAACTCATTTAAAACGGAAGATTTTCAGCGTCACTTCATTTTAACCTCGTCCAATTTTATATTCAAGCATTATTGTAAAATAAAAGTATTTTTTTTGGATATAGAAGCAATGTAAATAAGTCCATAAATGGAGTATTTTACTGCAAGTTCTACAAGTACAATGAAGCACATGATTCATTTATTTTTGATCTGATCTCAAGTTTGTTCTCAATTTGTTGTCGTTGGTATTTCCCATTAAACGGAAAAAAGTGCACAAATACAAAGCTATTTCCATTTTACATGACAAATTTTGATGACGAAAAAAAAGTAAAGAAATTTTTCTGAATCAGTTGTTCTGATTCAGTATCAGTTTAAAGGATTATTGACTTCATCAATGGTTAATTTTTGGCAGTTGAACCCGAATAAATTTCGGCTTTAAATATATTAGCCGTAATGAGAAAGTAACAGTCGTTCTTCAGCTGTTGTTCAGGGATGAAACACGCTTTGAGAAGAATATAGGAAACAAGTTGTTCAATCTTTCAGCTGTGATAATTTGCATGAATCTTTTGAAATATAGTAAGTTTTTCAGTTCTGTCCCATTTTGGTTCTTTCAACATCTTCAATTCCTTGTGTGAACATAGAACAGTGTCGTTAAAATTCAAGGTCATATTTATAACAAAAAGTCTCTAAAGGAAGTACAAATGAAGTGATGTTGCTGTAGTTTTTAAATAGCAGTCTCGTTCTAAGTTAGCGAAACGTAATTGTTCGGAAGTTCAACACATACTTCGGGTGCAAAACATGCACACTTCGTTCACCCCTATTTTCTAATACAATATATAAAAAATTATTGAGTATTTATTACAATTAAATAACGTTTTGTTTTTAGGTTTTGTTTTTGCTCAAAAGTATCGGCATGATGGTGGAAAAGAAGAAAGCAAAGCAAACCAAGACAATGAATCGTCTTTCAAAAAGATGACTTTTGGCAAAAAGATACGACACATTTATAGTCACATAACAATCGAACCGTTGATCATTTGTTTTTTGCTGTCAAGTACGGTGTTAGAATTGACAGTGCAGAATTTAAACTTAGAAAAAGCGTGCCTTGTGAATTTGAACTATAACCAAACGGTTTGTGATGCACTGTACGGGACACAGCAAACTATATCAACGAAGAAAAGGCGGTTCCGAAACTCGTTTCCCAAATGACGGGATAGAAAGCGGTATTAATCAGTGCGTTGTCATGCTTACTGATTTTATTTTTTGGATCTTGGAGTGATCGACATGGGAAACGAAAACCTTGCATCCTAATTCCACTATGCGGAGACATATTGATGGCTTTCTTGCTGTTGTTTGTGTTTATTTCGACAAAACACCCATCGAATTGACGATTTTTGTACAAGTTTTCTTCCCAGCCATATCAGGTATTGGAAAATTATGATTGAACCGATTCAATTTTGAATGAGAGCATTCCTAGATTATTTTTTGGTATTTCAGGAAGCGATTTCACAATGATGGCGGGTGTCTTTAGTTACATAGCCGATATTACTAATGAAAAAGAACGAACGTTTCGCATTGGAATTGTTACTTTGGTTTATTCCATTAGTGTTCCTTTCGGGATGGCAATGAGCGGAGTTTTGCTCAAGTAAAATGAAAACACCTTTATGAGTTTTATCACGATTTTTGAAATTTTACACACCTTTCATTCAATCTTGCAGGAGAATCAAATTTTATGGAGTGTTTTCAATGGCTGGCAAAATGTACATAATTGCATTGCTTTATGGCATCTTCGTAGTGAAAGAAGTTCCACCAAAGTAGAAGAATGATCAAATGATCAAAAAATCATTTTTGGCTGATTTCTTTGATTTTGGCCATATCAAAGAGATATTCCTAGTAGCATTCAAAGCGCGTATTCGAAATCGTCGCAACAAAATTTTAGCAATAATGGCAATTATTATAATCACCTAGTCGGCCCACTATATGGTAATTTCCTGAACTTATACAAATTGAATTAAATAAAATTTAATACGCACGCACTTGTGCATGCATCGATGGTAAGTTATTAATTAGTTAATTAACTATTCTAATTAATATTTAGGTAATTTTTTGGATAATGCGATAAATAACGCATTCGTTCCAATCATTTGAATAGTTTAGTTTTCCATATTTTGTTTTTGTTTTTTTGTTTGCGTGTTTTTCTAGGTGAAACTCCGATATTTTATTTGTTCACGCGTTACAAGTTTCACTGGACTGAGGAGAAGTTTGGCTTCTATTCGACATACAGCATGGTCTTGAGTTTGGTTGGAACTGCTTTTGCCGTCGGCATATTGTTGAGCATGTTAAAAGTGGATGATGCGCTAATCGGAGCAATGACTATTCTTACGAAAGTTGCGTCGAGTTTGGTGTACGTATTTTCACAAGTTGAATGGCACATGTATATCGGGCCGATGGTTGAGATAGTCTGGAGCGCTGCATTCATTTCAATGCGTTCATTGACGTCCAAAACTGTAACAAGCAATGAACTAGGAAAGGTAAACTCACTCTTTGGAATCATTGAGTCGATTTCACCGCTTGTTTATTCGCCTATTTTGGCCGCCATTTATTCAGCCACAATATCAAAAATGCCGGGCGCATTCTTTCTATTCAGTGGATTTATGTCCATCCCTGGAGCATTACTTTTTATGTACGTATATATTGAAATGACCACATAAAAATACTAATTCCAATGAATTTTCTACAAGTAGCATTAATTGCCGATGAAAAAATGCGTCGCAAAAAATGTAGTTTAAAATATAAATTGAACTTCACCATTTGCTGAAATATGATTATGAATGAAATTTACGATATTCCCACGTTATATTCCTTTTCAGATGGATTTACATGATAAATCGTGCCGAGGCAAAAGAGATAGAAGCCGCCGATAAAGACGTTGATGGACAAAAAACGATGAATGAAAAGCTGTGCGTGATGTATTTACGTAATGAGGACCTATCTATGATATCTGACGTAAAAGATTTGATAACGTAAAGCCGCGGTGATTCAATTGGTCCAACAAAAATCGATGAATAATGTTATGACTGATGATAACTTATTATTTTATTTATGTATTTAAAGAAAATGTAAAATTACATGAATGTTCCTATCAATAAAAAAAAAATGGACATAAATTTAAATTTAAACTGAGAATTTCGGACAGAGATTTCAACAGCTGTATTTTGGACTTCAGTGTATAAGGAAAAATATCGCGTCACAAAATTTGCAAGATTCTTAGAAGCTTGATTTGAATACTAAATTAACCCTCTAACCCACGAGAGAGCCTCAGAGCACTCCTCACGAAAAAAATTTTTTCGCTACTGATGAATTTTTTTGACTCAAAATGATTTCATGACATTGTATCATGCTTTTAGCGACATATTTGTAGAAGGTTCGAACTATATCCACCGTTTCGTTTCGTTTCTGTCAACAGTTTTGAATCAAAAGTCTGGTGTGAACACGGAAAATAAGTGGGGCCAATTGTTTTTTCTTGCAAAATCAAACAGATAGATTTTTAGTTATCCGATTTCGTTGAAACTTTCACCATAGAAAGAAATATATTGTACCTTTAATTTATATATGTGGAAAAATTATGAATTTGTGTTTTTGAAGCGAAAATTTAAAAAAACATTTTCTCGCCTGGCGGCTAAATGAAACAAGCAAATAACTTGCGGATGGTTTTTTTGAGTTTATTGGTCCATATTTACATTTAAAAAAAGGTTATCCAAATATATTTTTTTACAGATTTACCGGCATTAAAAATGTAATAGGTAGTAGCATTACGTTAACAAAAATTTCCTGTAATGTTATTACAATTGTAATAGCTATTACCGGTAATGCCAAATGACTGGCATTACAATTGTAACACATTATCGGTAATGCTAAATTTTGGCATTACAATTATAATAGCTATTACTTGACCCGTCCGTTACAATATTAACATGTTACCTAACATTAACGGTAATGCCAGAAATCTAACATTATTAATGTGATTTTTTAGCATTATTAATGTGATTTTCTAACATTACACACGCAATGTAATGCCAAAATTTAAAACAATACCGGTAATGCTAAATTTTGGCATTACAATTGTAATAGCATTACTTTGGCTCTTCGTTACAAGAGTCTTTTAGAGTCGTTACAAGAGAAGTTACTCTTGTGTTACGGCAAAATGTGAATCTGTATATTGTTTTCCTCATTTTTTGAGTTTTGGCGGTTAGAGAGTTAAAAATATAACCTAAAAGCCGTGACGCAGATTATTTGCCTCATTGTAAAGTCGTTGGTCTTAAAAGGAAAAAAAATTGCAGAAATATAAAGCTATTTTCAGTTTTTAATGATCATAATTATGATGACAAAATTCAAGGAAGAAAGATTTCTTCTGAGTCAGTAGTTCTGATTCAGTATCAGTTTGATGCATTTATGACGTCTTTATACTTCATTAATTGCAAAATTGTTGAATTTGGCAATTGAATCAGAATAAATTTCGGCTTTAAATACAGTAGCCGATCATAAGGAAGCAACAGTCGTTCTTTAGCTGTTGTTCAGGGGTCAGACACGCTTTGTGAAAAATAGGAAACAAGTTGTTCGGTCTATTTAGTTGTGATCATTTTCGTGAATCTTCTGAAATATAGTAAGTTTTCTTTAATTTTGGTTCTTTCAACAAAAAGCAGCCTCATTTCGTGTATTTAAGTTTGACAAATGCTATATTGTGGAAATACGGGCATACTCCTGCTACAATATATGGAATAATTGAAAATTGATCAAATTAAATAGCGTTTTGTTTTTGTGTCTTTCTTTTTTGCTCAAAAGTATGGCTATGATGGCGGAAGAGAAGCAAGCAAATCGAAACAATGAGTCGTCTTTCAAAAAGATGACCTTTGGCAAAAAGGTTCAACACATTTATGGTCTCATAACACTCGAACCTTTGATCATTTGTTTTTTGCTGTCAAGTACGGTGTTAGAATTGACAGTGCAGAATTTAAACTTAGAAAAAGCGTGCCTTGTGAATTTGAACTATAATCAAACGGTTTGTGATGCACTTCGTGTACGGGACACAGCAAACTATACCAACGAAGAAAAGGCGGTTCAGAAACTCGTTTCCCAAATGACGGGATGGAAAGCGGTATTAATCAGTGCATTGTCATGCTTACTGATTTTATTTTTTGGATCTTGGAGTGATCGACATGGAAAACGAAAACCTTGCATCCTAATTCCACTATGCGGAGACATATTGATGGCTTTCTTGCTGTTGTTGTGTGTTTATTTCGACAAAACACCCATCGAATTAGCGATATTTGTACAAGTTTTCTTCCCAGCCATATCAGGTATTGGAAAACTATGATTGGACCGATTCAATTTTGAATGAGAGCATTCCTAGATTATTTTTTTGGTATTTCAGGAAGCAATTTCACAATGATGGCGGGTGTCTTTAGTTACATAGCCGATATTACTAATGAAAAAGAACGAACGTTTCGCATTGGAATTATTACTTTGGTTAATTCCATTAGTGTTCCTTTCGGGATGGCAATGAGCGGAGTTTTGCTAAAGTAAAAAGAAAAAAAATTATGAGTTTTTTCACGATTTTTGAAATTTTACACACCTTTCATTCAATTTTGCAGGAGAATCGGATTTTATGGAGTGTTTTCAATGGCTGGCACAATGTACATAATTGCATTGCTTTATGGCATCTTCGTAGTGAAAGAAGTTCCGCCAAAGGAGAAGAATGATCAAATGATCAAAAAATCATTTTTGGCTGATTTCTTTGATTTTGGCCATATCAAAGAGATATTCCTAGTGGCATTCAAAGCCAATGTTAGAAATCGTCTTACCAAAATTTTAGCAATAATGGCAATTATTATAATCACCGTAGGACCCCTATATGGTAATTTCCTAGAACTTATACAAATTGAATCAAATAAAATTTAATACGCATGCACTTGTGCATGCATCGATGGTTAATTAGATAATTCTTTGGATAATGTTAATAATTTTGGTTTTTAACATTTTGTTTTTGCTACGTGTTTCTCTAGGTGAAATGCCGATATTTTATTTGTTCACGCGTTACAAGTTTCACTGGACTGAGGAGGAGTTTGGCTTTTATTCGACATTCAACATGGCCTTGCATTTGGTTGGAACTGCTTTTGCTGTCGGCATATTATCGAGCAGGTTGAAAGTGGATGATGCATTAATCGGAGCAGTGACTATTCTTACAAAGGTCCCATCGAGTTTTGTGTATGCATTTTCACAAGTTGGATGGCACATGTATATCGGACCGGTGGTTGAGCTAACCTGTGGTGCTGCAATTATTGCAATGCGTTCGTTGGCGTCGAAAACCGTACCAAGCAATGAAATAGGCCAGGTCAACTCACTCTTTGGAATTGTTGGATCGATTTCACCGCTTGTTTATTCGCCAATTTTGGTCGCCATTTATTCAGCCACAATATCAAAAATGCCGGGCGCATTCTTCTTATTCGGTGGATTTATGTCCATCCCTGGAGCATTACTTTTTATGTACGTATATATTGAAATGACCACATAAAAATACTAATTCCAATGAATTTTCTACAAGTAGCATTAATTGCCGATGAAAAAAATGCTGAAAATTCATCGCAAAAAATGTAGTTTAAAATATAAATTGAACTTCACCATTTGCTGGAATGTGATTAAGAATGAAATTTACGATATATTCCCTTTCAGATGGATTTATATGATAAATCGTGCCGAGGCAAAAGAGAGAGAAGCCGCCGCTGATGAACAAAAAGCAGTCAATGAAAAGCTGTGCGTGATGTATTTACGTAATGAGGACCTGTCTATGATATCTAGCGTAGAAGACCTGAAAGCATAGATGCATGGGAAGATTTCAACCGCCATATTTTGGACTTTAGTGTATAAGAAAAAATAACGGCGTCACTATTATTTTTGCAAGATTCTTAGAAGCTTGATTTGAAAACTAAATTAAAACTGAAGCCTAAAAGCCGTGACGCAGATTATTTCCCTCATTGTAAAATCAAGATTAGCAATAATGAATGCGAGTGGATATTGCATCGAGGGGAAATACAGCGCTTTAGCATCACATTAATCTTTTGCGTGTTAAACCCACTACAGTGTCACTTTATTTTGACCTTGTCTCAAGCTTATATTTAAAATGCATTGGATCCTCATAACATAGAAACTTTTTTCAGTCGTAGAATTTCTCTTTCAGTTGAAACAATTACAATTACGCACGTGATTCATTCATGCCAAGTTTGTTGTTATCAATTTATTTTTTTTTAGTTGACCTTGGCCATTAAAGGGAAAATAGTGCAAAAACATAATTATTTACGTTTTTTTTAATGACGAAATTGAAGTGCGTTTATGGAACGTATTTTTTTTCTGAATCAGTTGTTTTAATTCACTATCAGTAAATAAAGGATTATTGACGTATTTTTTAGATAATTGTTAATTTTAGAAATCGAGTCAGAATATATATCAGCTTTAAATACAGGAGCCGATCATGTGGAAGCAACAGTCGTTCTTTAGCTGTTGTTCAGGATTGAGACACGCTATGTAAAGAATAGGAAACAAGTTGTTCAATCTTTTAGTTGTGATAATTTTCGTGAACCTCCCGAAATATAGTAGTAAGTTGTTCAATTTCGTTCAGTTTCGGTTCTTTCAACAACTTCAATTCCTTGTGTGATCATACTTCGTACACCTCATTTCCTGCTAAAATATTTGAATTAATTAAGAATTGTTTACATTAATACCGTATTGTTTTTGTGTCTTTATTTTTTGCCCAAAAGTATGGCTATGATGGCGGCAGAGAAGAAAGCAAACCAAGACAATGAAACATCTTTCAAAAAGATTACCTTTGGCAAAAAGGTTCAACACATTTGTAGTTACATAACACTCGAGCCGTTGATCATTTGTTTTTTGCTACCAAGTGCGCTGTTAGGGTTAACTGTGGAGAATTTTAATTTAGAAAAAGCGTGCCTTGTGAATTTGAACTATAATCAAACGGTTTGTGATGCACTTCGTGTACGGGACACAGCAAATTACACTAACGAAGAAGTGGCAGTTCAAAAACTCATTTCGGAAATGACGCAATGGAGAGCGGCATTTGCCAGTTCTATACCGTGCTTACTGATCCTATTATTTGGATCTTGGAGTGATCGACATGGAAAGCGGAAACCTTGCATCTTAATTCCACTATGCGGAGACATATTGATGGTATTCTTGCTGTTGTTGTGTGTTTATTTCGACAAAACACCCATCGAATTGACGATTTTTGTACAAGTTTTCTTTCCGGCTATAACAGGTATTGCCAAATTTTGAATGGGCCGCTGAAATTTCAAAGGGAAGCCTTTCTTACTTATTTTTTCTCTTCTAGGAAGCAGTGTGACAATGATGGTGGGTGTCTTTAGTTACATGACCGATATCACAAACGAAAAAGAACGAACGTTGCGCATCGGACTTACTACTTTGATTTGTGCCGTGAGTGTTCCTGTCGGAAGTTTAATAAGCGGGGTTTTGCCCAAGTAAAATGAAAACACTTTTATGAGTTTTTTTTTACTGTTGAATATCGACAGTTTTTTCATCCATTTCTTTTTTCTATAATTTTTCAGGATAATTGGTTTCTATGGAGTGTTTTCATTGGTTGGCACATTGCACACAATGGCTTTGCTTTATGGCATCTTTGTAGTGAAAGAAGTTCCGCCAAAGGAGAAGAATAATAAAATTATCAAAAAATCATTTTTGGTCGATTTCTTTGATTTTGGCCACATCAAAGAGACATTTTTTGTGGCATTTAAGAAGCGTGATAAAAATCGTCGCACGAAAATATTGGCAATAATCGCATTCCTTGTTATCGCCGTAGGACCACAAAATGGTAATTTTTATCAATTATACAAATTGAATAAAATTAAATTCAATATTCATGCACTTGCGCACGCAACGATGGTTAATTAGATAATTTTTTGGATAATGTGAATTAGGTCACGCATTCAATCCAATTATTTGAATAATTTTGCTTCTACTACGTGTTTGATTTTCTAGGTGAAGCGCGGTTATTTTACTATTTTACGCGATTCCAGCTCAATTGGTCTGAGCAAGAGTATGGCTTCTTTTCGACATACAGCATGGCCTTGAATTTGGTCGGAACTAGTTTAGCCATCGGCATATTGTCGAGTTTCTTGAAATTGGATGATGCATTAATCGGAGCAGTGACTATTCTTACAAAGGTCCCATCGAGTTTTGTGTATGCATTTTCACAAGTTGGATGGCATATGTATATCGGACCGGTGGTTGAGCTAACCTGTGGCGCTGCAACTATTGCGATGCGTTCGTTGGCTTCGAAAACTGTACCAAGCAATGAAATAGGCAAGATTAACTCGCTTTTTGGAATCATTGAAGCGTTGCTATCCCTTGCTTATTCGCCCATTTTTCACGCCATTTATACGGCCACTCTAACAAAAATGCCGGGCGCATTCTTCTTATTCGGTGGATTTATGTCCATCCCTGGAGCATTACTCTTCATGTACGTATATATTGAAATGACCACATAAAAATACTAATTCTAATGGATTTTCTACAAGCAAAATTAATTGCCGATGAAAAAATGCTGAAAATTTTTCGCAAAAAATGTAGTTGAAAATATAAATTGAACTTCACAATTGGCTGAAATGTGACTATGAATGAAATTTACGATATATTTCCTTTCAGATGGATTTACATGATAAATCGGGCCGAAGCAAAAGACAATATAGCCGCTGATGAACAAAAAGCGACAAATGTAAAGCTGCGCGATATGTACTTACAAAATGAGGACCTGTCTATGATATCTGAGATGAAAGACTAGAGCTATGGTGATTCAATCAATTTGATAAAAAGCGATGATTATTAGTATGACTGATGATGGTTGTTTTTATTTATGTATTTATGGTAAATGTAAAATTGTATGAACGTTCCGTAGCAATGAAATAAAAATATGAATGTAAATTTAAATTTAAAGTAAGAATTAAAAAAAAACATTTTTAACAACAATATTTTGGGATAAACTCCCTACCATGGTCATTTGGAATTTTCCTATATATGTAAGCCAAGCCCTTTCCAACAGCATTTTACATGTCGGTAGGTCAAGTGGTGCTCTTAAAAAATCTGGGATTTTTACATTTTGGATCGTAATGCACAGTTTATGATGCGTCATTTGTCGAACTATCATCCACCGTGATAATTTAATCTTTCCAAAACGTCATAATACATAATAAGCGATTGAAATGCTTAATTTTGATTTACACAGCATTTCATGTTTCTTCAAATATCTCGCTAAATATCACCGACCTAGCTGTCTTGAAAGATGTTTATGTCACATGAATTTGTTATGCTTCAGTTAAATCGTAATTTCCAAGAAATGGTCGAGTAATGTTACAAATGCTGAGCAAATACCATTTCGCAATCCATGAATTACACAATAACAGAGAGATACAATTCTTTTTTTTGGTTTGTTCCATTCACTAGAAAGCGTATGATCTATTTAGTGGTTGTCGTTGACTATTCGGTGCGAAAACGATATTCTAACAGAATCGAAAAATCTAAGCTTCGTTTTGATTTTGCATTTCGATTTACAGCGCGTGTGTCACTTTTAATTTTCATTGAATTCACTCACAATTGACCTCAAAGGGCAATTCAATGAAGAAAGAACATTGTAGTGTCTTTCTTCTTTCTGAGTTGAAAAAATGCATTCGGCTTCGGAAATAGCATTTAACCTTTGAGTATTTAGTTCAGTAACTTGTTCATCCACAACTTGTGCGACACATTCAACGATAATTAAATTGAATTTGTTGTCTTTGATGAGCGGCGTGAATCATTCGGTCGATCTTCGCGTCGTACTGAATGACTAAGAAAGAACAAATATGAAACAAGTTCTATGCAAGGCGTCGACGGTCGCATTTCAAACACTGCGAGCACACATTTCATTCTGTTATTAACATCGTTGTGTGACCTACAGTGCGTCGCGATATTGCTCCCGAACATGAATCAACTAATAAGCATAATTGTGTGTACATTTCGTCGCTTGGTGTCTTAATTAACTTGCATCGAGTTGAATTAATTCATAGTATTTTGTTACTGGAGCGAGGCGAACAAGCCATTAATTTGTGTTTGCAGCATAAATAAATTCGCAAAAACAAAGCAAAAAAAGTGAAAAGAATATAAATTGACTCAAGCAAATCGTCTTTTATTTCAAAAGCAACGGGAAAAAAATCGGGAGAAAATAATTTATCATTTGACTGAGCTTTGGAGTCACAAGAAATATTGGCATCGACTAATGAACATTGATTCCGTTCTTTGGCAACGAATCGAGATGTGTCGAACGTCATACATATCTATTTCATAGAGACTACCGTTCGATCGATAAGCTCATTAACTCGTTCGCTTGGCCATTTGGCAGCGTTGATGGATGTGTTTTATGTCATTGTTTGAGCAATAATTACCGCTGTGCGAAAAGTAAATAGCCACAAAAGCGAAATCCGATTTCCAGCAAAAGAAATGCGAAAAAGCGGAAAAGAAGTAGAGAGATTATGGAGAAGAAAAAAAATGGCCGAGAAATGTACATGTTTCAGCGGAGCATTGAGTCTTTAAAAAAATTAACACACGTACGCAATGCCTGAACTTAATTAAGAAAACGAATTTCTCATGCCACAAAATATGGAGCTTAAGAAATGTAAACCGTTTAGTTGCTCAGCTCATGTGTGTACGGTAGAGAGGGAAAGAGAGCGCGAGAGAAAAAACTTTAACAAAATTCGAATAACTTATATTGAGCAGTTTGAAGAGCGAGAAAATATCGAGTTAACAACTGTACACAATTAAATAAATTTGATAGAGAGTGAGTGAGTAAGAGACAAACATACACACAGAGCAGATAGACACTCGCGTGCACACACATATGAGAAGACGATTGTGGTGAGAGAGCACGCAAACAGCGAGAGAATAAATGACTGAAAGACTGCAACGGTAACAGTGGCTAAGGCACCAGCGACTGAATCAGTATCGAATTGGACAACACAACCTGCAGACACGAAACAAAAAAATACTTAGTTTATGTTCACTAAAACACCGTGTTTGGCTTTTGGTCTGTCGATCGAAGTACACCCGAACAAAGCGCAACCGAGAAGTAAGCGGTAACTTGTGGGCTATTACGTATGGCTGTGTGTTGGGCGTTGGCGACCTGCTACGTAGAGTTTTTGATAAAAATAGTGTGTTTCCGTCACGTAAAAAAACGAGAAAAAATAATTTTCTTTTTCGAAATATCTAAAACAAATTTGTCAATTTTTTTCGATTGCGAATGAGTTTCCGATCAGTGTTCAAATATTTATGTGTGTCACTTTCATCTTATCTTATCTTGTGTTGTATGTGGTTTATCGTAGAATTGCTCACCGATTACGATAGTTAAACGTATAGTGTGCCAATAAGTGTGTAGATAAGCTATTGAATTTTGACCAAAAAAATAATCATGAAATCATTTGCACACAATTCCACGAAAGAATCACAACAAAATTCCAATTCAATTTGAAATCACAGGTGAATCATAAACAAAGCGATCTCCCCGAACACAGAACACAGCACAAGAATATCTCGATTGTTTTGGTTGTGTGTGTTGCAAGTGTTTGTGTATCGTTTTCAGTTTCCAAAATGGTATTTCGAAATTTGAAGGTAAAGAGAGCGAATAAATGTTGATTCAACGTCGTTGAAGTCAACGCTTATGTTTCTCTCACTCTCTCCTCATGTCGTGTGTTTGCGATGTGAATGTAAAGGTGCATTTATAGTTGCATTAAACAAAATATGTTCTCTTCGTTGGTGTTTTTTTTTTGTTTTGTTGTGAATTTCAATGCGAGAGAGTCTTGAGAAGTGGCACACAATGTGATTTATTATGAAAAAAAAAACACAACAAATGTTGGGAAATAATAGAAGCGATAGAGAGAAAGAGAGCGATGAACGAAGAGAGAGGCAAACGAAATAAAGATGAGGTAGAAAAAAACGCGACACATCAATTCTGTGTTTGTGCTCGGTTAATTTCGATTACACAATATCTTGATTGAAAAAGTGAAACTCGGCTACAGTACATGTATACGTGCGTCCAGAGACGGAATGATTTAGCGAACGCGATTACAATGGATAAACAATAATTTTATGAATATTCACAATTCCATTACAAACATGCAACGTGTACAACGTTGTACATCGCAAAACGTGCAATTTTTTCAATTCAAATATTTGTTCCAATTTCATGAGCACCAGAAGCAGCAGCAGCAGCAGCAGAAAAAAAAACAAATGGATGATTCATATGGAATTCGATTTGTTTTAAGCAAATGCGATCGCTTCACACAAAAAATAAAATAAATTTTCGCCGAGTTTAAAATAACTTGAGTGAAATGGAGAGAAATGTTTGAAACATAAAAAAGAAAACCAACTCTTCGATATCGACGCTATAAAATCTGTATAAATGGATGTGTGATCTTGGAGTGTACGCTTCTGGAGTGAAGAATTTCACGAAGCACAACGAAAGAAAACATTGAAAGCGGTGAAAAAGTGAAGAAAACAGAATGTACAAAAAAAACGAAGAGATGGTTTCGAAAGAACGATTCAAAATCGCTTCATCACCAACACATGCGTCCCGTTTTCTACCTTCTTTCTCTCTGCTGTGTGTGTGCGTAAGTGTGTTTTCGAGTTAAAGAGACCAACGAAGACCAAAAATAACCAAAACCGTCTTTCTGAAGAAACACAGTGTTAAAACGTTGATGGGCAATTGTAGGGTTTTTTTCCCATTCTTTTTTGGTCAGCCCGTATAAACGACGATGACGATTCTTAATGACGGCGTCCAGCCTTTGCTACACATTCCCAGCAAATAACATTAGAAACATTAGTGTGCAATTTGGAAAAAGAGACAGATTCATTCAAGCGTTTGATTTTAAAACGATAATATTGCCTCTTGGCGACATATTTACTCAAAACAAGTAAATTAGTATTATGTCTGTAGCGTTTGTGGTATGGAAAAAAGCGTTGTGTGTGCAATATAGACTTATGTGCGTGTTTGTTGATATATTTCACATATAATACCAAAATAACGAAAAACCTGTTTTTGGCCAAATGCTACACTGGAAGTCAACACGCACACCGTTGAACCGAACGCTCGTATGCTATGCTCTCTCAAATATTCACATTCGCCGTGTGTCTGTCTCTCTTTTGTTACCGCTCTCACGACGGATGTTTCGTTATTATTGCATTTTTCTGAATTGAATTGAATTGAATTTATTTCACTGCCAAATACTGGCTGACTAGGTGAATACAGTTTTAGGATACAGTAAATTTAGGATACAGTGAGTAAGTTTGTTAGATAGATAGTTAGATAATTAGTTTTAGGTAGATATTTAGTTTTAGGTAGATATTATAGGTTTTTATGTTTTGGTTTTCGTGTTTAGGTTAGCCTCGTGTGGTAGCAGGTATTGTCATGTAAAAATAAGTATAAAAAATACAAAATAAAATAAATAATAAATGAATAAATAATAATTGTTGTAAAACTACTCTAACTAATTGAAGCTTGTATAGGATATTCTCAAACAAAATATACAAAATATTCACAATACTTTATATTATATATACAAACAAAATATTTTCAATACTTTAAAGTATCCTAATTTCCTTTTAATTGCCCTAAATTGCACAATGATTCACTAATTCTGCTATTCGGAATAATGCGAATACAACAATGATCGATGAAGTGGTATGCGTGACGGTGTGGGTCAATATTAACCAATTTTTTTCCGTCGTTGTTCAAGTTGTTCTCAGTTCTATCGGGTTCGTTTATATGAAATACACGAAGTATGAAGTATGTGCTGAACTGAATGAATGTCTTAAAAACAGTCTCAATTTACTCTCCGAGTTTTTTTTTGTTTGTTTTCGTTGTCTGTTCAACAGCAAATTAAATGAAACGTGTGCTTCGTTTAATGACACCAGAGCCGCGTCGAATGTATACTTACCTGATTCTAAAGCGAGTTGTTTTCGTGAAATTGTAACGAGGTGTGTGTGTATATGCGCGCTTACAAAATAAGTATTGCTCAACACCGCTTCTTTCCGCTCATTCCTTTTTTGTACTCAAAAGAACTCGTATTGACCGTTGCGCGCTCATTTTCTTTTCTTTCGCCATTAAATCGGTACGTTCTTTGTAATGTTTTCACGATTTTCAATCCATTTTGTTTGGTTTATTCACCTCGTACTTTGTTTATAGTGTGGTATTGTTCCTTTCGTAACTGGATGGGCGATTTAAAGAAATGATTTGCGCATATGCGATTTTACTACAATGCACTGCATTTGATATGAAAAATTGCTATTTTGGCTTATAGCATTCCTTTTTGTCGAACACATGAACCATAAAACTATTCCTATGACGACGAAGTAAAATTGCATTTTGTTTGCGTAGAAAGAAAGTACAGTCAATAGTAAATTTTACTGCTTTTACTCAGTGAATAGTGCCGAATTTTCGTCTCAAGTGTCAGATCGTTAAATTGCATTGAGCAATGAAAGTAACAACGAAGCCATAAAAACGCAATAAACGCCGAAAATAAAATTAGTGTGGAAATAATTGTGATTTTGTTTAGTTGACGGAAAAACACACTCAAAATACCATCAAATTTTTTTTTATTCATTTGTGGATTTGTCTGTATATTTCCAGAGGCGATATTGTGTAGTCCAGCCGTTGCAGCGCAGGAAGTGTGTGTGTATGTGTATGGTGGTGTGTGTGAAGCGGCATTAAAAACACATTCAACATTATGGTCAAATGATAAGCGCAACTGCGACCGATTTCGTTTGTCAACAGAAACAAAAAAAAAACAACAAAATTCCAGCCATTAAAACAGTGTTGAATAGATTTAGTTTCGAACAAAATGCCATTGACTATGAATGAGAAGAGGGCACTGAATCACCAGCGAAAGCAGATTTTCAAGTGTAAAAGTGTTTTGAAAAAGCGGAAATTCACCCAATCGATACACATAAACTCGCACAAATGGATGTTATGTGTAGTGTTCTTAGCGTTGCCATATTTATTTGAATGCCAATATCAAACGCGCGATCCCAGATGGTATAGCCGTGAAGGAGACTATAATTACCAGTGGCCAAACCCGGGCGATCCCGAGTATCGGTAAATTTATTATGAAATTATTATTTTTTTGTCACTTGTTTATTTTGTTGAGCAGTTTTTTAAAATTTAAACTGCTGTCCCGAAACGAAGAATGGCAGGGGGAACCGCAAAAATAGCAACACAAAATAAACAGAATAAAACTTCATTAGTCGACAAAAATGCACCGATATCGGATGCATGCAAATTCACCGGCAGGAACTATGCATGAGCAATCATGTGCAGTTCATGTTATTCAAATTTTGTGCAAGTGTTCACTTTTTCTCGTTTGCAATTATTTTTTTTTTCATCTCGCAGAACGTATACGTTCAATGATCGCAGATATGGACACTACCAACCAAATGGTTATGGTTACCAATATCCCGGCCAAAAGCATCCAAATCAATATCCAGCAGGTGTGCCGCTTGGCGAAGACAAATTTAAATACGATCCGGTTAGTAGGCGAAACGGTCAAATATTTGAGACAGCAGCAAATTAACCACGTTTTTCTTTTCTCAATGTAATAGAATAATCCTGATAATGTTCAAACACCATTCCCTGGTATTTTGGGTGGATGGCGTGAAGATTTACAAGGCAAACAAAGACGTGATTCATTGCTTCTTGATCGAGATGTTTTCGTTACCACCAACTATGGTCAAGTGCAGGGATTTAAAGTGCGATTATACGATGATCCCGATCCAAAAAGTTTCTATCGTCCATGGCATAGCCAAGTTGACCGCATAACTGGTGAGTGTGCCGTATTCCTTGGCATTCCATATGCACTGCCACCAACATTTGAAGGCCGATTTAAGCCACCCAGACCGCATCGAGGATGGCAGTTGATGCAAGCCGTTGATTTTGGTCCTGCATGTCCACAGCCAGTTCGATATACAGGTGCAACGAAAAGCATCCGCGATATGGATGAGGATTGTTTGTACTTGAACATATTTTCACCGGATATTTCGGCGGGCATCGCCCAAAAATACCCAGTTATGGTTTATATTCACGGCGGTGACTTTTCACATGGAGCATCGAATACATTTCCAGCGCATGTTATGGCGACATTTTATAAAGTCGTTGTTGTTTCAATCAACTATCGGTTGGGTGCATTGGGCTTTTTATCGACAGGTGATGAGAATTCGCCCGGAAATTACGGCATTTTAGATCAAGCAATGGCCGTAAAATGGGTCTATGACAATATCGAATTTTTCAATGGAGACCGACAGTCGATTACATTATTTGGCCCCGGAGCTGGTGCTGCATCAGCTGGTTAGTAAACACTTTTGAAACTTTGAATATGAGTTCGAACGAATAAATGTGTTTTCTTTGCTCAATTTATAGGTTTATTGATGGTTGCACCGCAAACGCGTGATATTGTAACAAAAGTAATTGCAACGTCTGGATCTGCATTGGCCGACTGGGCGTTGATTCAAGATAAATATCGGGCACAGAATACGACACGCGTCTATGCACAGTTATTGGGCTGTTCGATTGAATCTTCATGGAAAATTGTCAACTGTTTAAAACAGGGCCGAAGTTTTTATGAGCTTGGCAATGCGGAGTTTAATCCACAAGTTGGAAACATTCCATGGGGTCCAGTTCTCGAGAATAATTTCACATTCCCCGGCGATAACTGGTATGAGGGTTGGCGTGAAGCAGATTGGCACTTTTTGAGTGAAACTCCCGAACAACTTATTCGAACAAGAAAATTCAATCGAAATCTACATTACATGACCGGCGTTACAATGCAAGAAGCAGCTTACGTTATTTGTGAGTTGAAACTTTACGACCTTGATGGATTTTCGAAATCTAATGAATTCTTATCTTATTTCAGCACAAAATGAAACGTTAGCACCGTATTATGAAGTGACCGAGCAGTTTTACGATCAAAAAGTAAAAGAGCTAGTTTTACGTTACAATTATACATTGAATCCGATTGGTGTGTACGAAGCGATAAAATACATGTACACGTATTGGCCCAATCCAAAAAATACAACATTCATTCGGGAACAATATATTCATGTGAGTGATAGACATTTATTCACACGTTATACACATTCGGCGCACTTCCGTTTCGAACTTCCATTTCGCCGAAATTCAATTTAACTAATAACATTATATCTCCTTTTCCGCGAAATAATTTAGCTGTTATCTGATTTCTGGTATCGTGCGCCAGTCGATCACATGGTAAAGTTGCTGGTTCAGCAAAAAGTGCCTGTATACTGGTACGTCATGAATACAACGGTTGAAGCGTTTAACTTGCCCGAATGGCGCAAAGTGCCGCATGATGCGGAGCATTTCTTTTTAACGGGTGCCCCATTCATGGACACGGAATTTTTCCCAAAGCGATTACGCTTAGAACGAAACATGTGGACCGACAACGACCGGAACATGAGCCACTTTTTCATGAAAACTTACACGGATTTCGCACGATATGGTAATCCAACGCCCCAACAAGTACTTGGCATTCATTTTGATGTAGCCAAGGATGGCGAATTAAAATATTTAAATTTAAACACGACGTACAACTCATCAATATTGCTCAACTTTCGACAAACGGAATCCGCTTTTTGGTCACAGGTACCCACCAGAACAACGATGCACAGAGATTTGTTTTTCAGGGTAACTACGTTGCTAATATGGATTTTCTTTTCATTGGCAGTATCTTCCGACGGTAATCGGAGTTCTGGTGCCAACATATCCGCCATCGACCGAATGGTGGTGGGAGCCAAGGGAACCACTTCAAATCGCATTTTGGAGCATGACGGGAGCATGTATGTTTTTAATGGTTATTGTTGTCATGTGTTGCATTCTGTGGCGTAATGCCAAAAGGTAACAAATTGAGCTCATTTTTTACTCGGTCTGTCATTCGAAACGAATTTCGGCGATTTTCTCATATTTTTCACTCGTGCACAAACGTGCACTTTTCAGACAAGCCGATCGATTTTATGATGGTGATATATTTATTGATGCGAGCGAATCAGATGCAGTGCTTGGCATTGAAAATAAAGCCGCACAAACCCATGCACTTCGAACGACCGATAACATCTACGAGTTCAAGGATACAAAACCGCCAAAATCCATTCAAGATACAGCATCACTGCGTTCACCCAGTTCGTTGGGTATCACTCAAACCACAAAAACAAACAGTCAAACGTCGTTGCACAGTGGTGCAATCTCATTAAAAGAGTCACCTGTTACACCCAGAGATATCACCGACAAAAGCAGTAAGTTCAGTGACCGTAGTATATCGACAAATCCACGTGGCCGATACGATGATGGTCGTAATCTGATGAATAATTATGGTAAATCCCGCGAAACAATATCAGATGACAGCCCAACCGAATACAAACCATCAACAACACCAGTGCCCACGGCGCGTAAAAGTATTAAATCGAGTAAAACACATCTGATAGAAGGTGTACCACAAACAGAGGTTTAAGCGAAAAATACAAACCCATTTCAATAGTTTTGCATAAGAATAAGTGCACAATTAACGCGACACAGAAAGAAAAGACATTTATTTTCGTCAGTTTTACATCATTTTTTTCACGAATTTATTTGAAATAATCTCCTTTGATAACATTTTTGTCACTTAATACTTAAGCAAATCCATCGTGTATTTGTTTTTAACTTTAGTGCCACCAAATCGTTTACAAATTATATATATAGTTTTTTTTCTGTATAAATGAGTTTAAACTTAATGCGAGAAACAAATGAGCTTGAAACAATAATGATAATAATCGAAACTTAATTCCATTTGATCACGTTCACATTTAGTCACATGAATAATAAAAAAAAAAAACAAATGAAAGAAGTACTATGTATGTCATTTTCGTAAATCGTATATTCATAACAGACGTTTTAGGTGTATAATAGGCTCAGTTTATGTAGTAATTTTCCCATTCCGCTATGTAATAATCTATAGTTTAAAATTATGTTAACCACTTCTTGTTTTATTTTGTTCAATTGCTCGCTCTCTCTCTTGCTCTCTCGCTCTTTCGAGGGACAGTTGTGCTTCAGTATGTTCGGATTCATTCATGTTTGACAAACAAACCTGTTGGTTTTTTTAAAAAAATATTCTTCATTTTCTATTTCATTCAAATATTTACTGAGAGTTTTGCATTTAGACTATTGCTTCCGTTTTGTAACTTTTTCATGTGTTTCTTTTTGTATGTGTGTGTTGTGAATTCGCTTCATCTTAATTTAAATTCGAGTTGTTGTTTTTTCGGTGAAAACTGTCATTTTGATATTTATGCCTTTATATAAAGTATTTGTGTAAATTGGAAAAGTTTTCCAATCCAAACCGGATGTGTGTGTGTGTTGTACAGTCGATCACATATTGAAGGGAAAAAAATAATCGAATTCAAAACATAGAATGTAGATCTCATCGATTCATTTGCTCGATATAAAATAAACGCAAAAAATAGTAGATTAGTTTTAAACCATGGTTGACAAATGAAAGCAATTTAACAGTCGTGCTCTTGAAAAGTGCCTTAACCAAATCAAAGGGTATAGATATACATATAACAGCTAGGTTTATCTAGGAGAATCGAAAATGGCCGAAATAGAAAACCAATTATTGTTAACCATATATATTATATATCCTATTCGTATTAGTTTCATTTTACGTTTGGGTGTCCTTGTGTTTTAGCTTAACCATGCGTCTCTTTAATTACGGTATTAATTTGTCGCATAATCCGTAGTTTTTTTTAAGTTTTTAGGAGTCTATATGAATTGTATGTTGTGTAGTAATTCAACTAAGTGTCTATGTTTTCTTGTTTATATTTCTGATTTACATTTTTTTAGTATGTATTTTGTGTTAAGGTGTCCATGTACTTTGTATTTTGTACTTGTGAATCGTCTATTATCAGTAATCCGTCCAATTCGTGCATAGTTTAGTAAATTGTGTTTTGTATCGTTTTGTGCTCGTTTTTTAACGCGTTTAACGACAGTGCAAATCAATTTTTTAAAACTTTTTTTTAACGTATTTTAGGTGTATTAAGGTTCATTTAGGCTATTTCATTTTAGTTATATAGACATAACAGATATTAGGCATAAAAGTTTTTACAAGTTGTAAATAAACTCGATAAATGTTTTAGTTAAAGATAAATCGGCGAATATAGATTTTTAGGCGAATTTTCCCCGCACAAGCAAAAACAAAATCAAACCTTTTCAATACCAATGGTGAATCGAATTCAAAACAAAACAACAACATCACGATAAATGAAATCAAACTATGAAGAAAATAACGAAAACGAGAAGAAAAACAAGTATACATATGTCGAAAAAAAACAGTAGTGATAAAATCAGATTTGGAACAACGTACATTTTATTCTTTTAAGATTGATGCGATACAAATAAAGCGGAATGAAAAATACGAAATGATAAAAGTTTTTCTTTTCAAATAAATATTTTATGTGCGAAAAATGCCATTTGAGATGAACTTCAGGCGCATCGCCCTGCTCACTTTGGTTGATCCGGTAGAAAATGTGTGTATGCATTGAAATGCCGAAACCGCTTCGTAGTTTTGCTTTGCCGTCAAACTTTATTCCTCTCTAGTTTAAATTCAATTAGTGCCGAGTAACACAGTTTTCGGGGCACTCCCTTATCTCGATTTTTTTGGTCGATTAGTCAGTGACTTGTGTGTTTGGTGTTGGTTTAATGCTTAAATTTGAACCCGATTCAGATTCGTTAGCATGTGTTTGCGTGTGTGTGTGTGTGTGTGTCTGTGTGTGTCTGTGCAAAATGCAGAGTCATTCTAATTACGCTGGTTGCAATCCAATTTTATTTATTCGTATGTGCGATTCTTATTTTGAGTTTGTTTATGCCTTGATGCTTTTTTCTCTGCGTTGCTGCTCTTGTTGTTAGTGTTTTGACGCTGTCTCTGTTTATGTTAATTATCTTAAGTTTTTGTCTCCTGTTTTTCCCATGGAAAACTTAGTCGTACATTTCATCTTGACTTTTCGTTCAATATTCGTTGTGTTGCCGAAAATTTACCCTCTTTGCAGTATTTGCTCTCTGTTTTGCACTCAAATTTTCGCTGTTGTCGACGATGACGCCAACGTCGCTGCCAATGTTTTTGTTGCTGTTCTGTTGCGAACGAATGCAGCAGCAGCAACGAACACGAAAATCGGGTCAATTAAAGTTTTCCGCTAAAGTTCTTCTGCTTTTGCTTATCGAAATGCAGGCAACTTACGAAAATAGATGTTGAACTTTTGCTTAAATGCGGAGAGAGAACATTATGGAATTCAACAAATTAACCATTCTTGTTTCAAGTCGTTTCTTTTCTTTTCTTTGCGTGTTGTCGCTACGGAATCTTGTTTTTCTCCTCTTCTACTCGGTTCGGAATGTGAAAATCAATTTCGATGTGAGACAATGCCATTTGACAACGAAATGAGTGACGACGATGTCGACTTTGACGACAACGTGATAGGAAATGCGAACGAAAGTGCAACGTTGATAAATAATGGAAGTTAGAAAGCGGTAGTAACAATTTCGACGTTGTCGACGATATTAAAGCCATCCTTGATAGTTAATGTGGCCACGAACTGGCGTTACATTGGGCAGCTGTGGTATATCATGTGAACTAGACTCAGTTAAGGAATGTGTTTGCCGAAGCAATGGATCTAACAATGCGGTTGAGAATTTTACACTTTCATCGGTTGTCGAGGGCGTCAATCCTTCATGTTGCGATGATTCCGATTGACTTTTCCCTTGTTCGCCGTTCGCCGGCACATTCTTTTCATCTTCGACACGCGATGGTACGCTCGACGCTCGCTTTAGTATCTAATCAATTGGAAAATTAAACATTGCAATATGCAAATTGAATGATGGTGCTCAACTTAAATGCCGCTGCCCATACCACTCACCTTTTTGCTTGGACTGGATTCTGTTTTTGGAGGGGCCGTTGGTTCTAAAACTGGACTAGTATTTCGGCTTTTGCTAAACTTTTTCCGCTTCCGCTTGAGTGCGGCCAAAGCACCGAACCCTTTGAAAGAGAATTTAATGGGAATTTTAATGAATGCAATCATTTAGCAACGGTCCCGTTTATAAAATGCGCTACAGAAATGGAAGAGAAAGTCATGCGTTCTCTCCTCTTTTTCTAAAATTTAATGATAGAAAAAGAGAGAGAGAGACATTCCGGCAGACTCCATTGATTCGTGCACACTTGCAACCTATGCAAACATGCAAATGTGTTTTTATATGAATATTTGTAGCGTTTAGGTTTTTACGTAAAATGCTCAACAATCTGAAATGAAAATATAAAAAAGAACAAAAAAACAAATCCAAACACATAATGAAAATGAGTTCAAGTCACTACGTCTACTACCATATAAATGCGAATGATGCTCTTTGCTTTTATATTTAGCAGAAGAAGAAGAAGAAGAAGATTTAGTAGGAGCGGTGTTAACGTCAGGTTTGTCCATACTTGGGTTTGAGTCAGTTGGTGATGCAGTAACACCTTCGTCCGAGTTACTTCGGCTGGCCGATCCCTCTTTGTTGGCGGTGTTTGCAGGTATCGAATTGCATACGGAGTCTTCGGAACGTGAACGACCGATGAAACGTGATACGCTGCCGGTGCCGTGGCGCGCTGCTTCAATCAACGTGCCTTCAGTGGTTATTGATGTTTCGCATGCGTTTTTTTTTGTTTTTGTGTTTTATGTTTTGGGAGTGTGAGTAGTATCGTGTGTGTGCAAACCAACAGTCCGCACATCGGAAAATTAGTAAATTAACTTCGATTAGAAAACACAGCATTTCTGTTGATTTTTTTCATTTTCATTTAATTACCCCATCGCCTCTTTTGTGATGTGTTACGCAGCTTGGATCCGATTTTACCCAGACGTCCAATCGTGCCAAACGATTCGCTGAACGAGCTCTGCGACGATGAATACTGTTGCATCGAATACATTGGATTACGTCGCGGGGTGATTCCTGACTGATTGGCATTCAGCAGACCGGCAAATGTTGATCCATAGTAGTCGCAGTTTTCGCTGCCTGAATGAAATGGTGACATGAATTCAGCGACTGGTGGTAATGCATTCATACCTTGTGTGCCTGGTAATGCCAAATTGAATCCTTTCATCAAACGTCGCTCCTTTTGTCGATTCTTCTTTCCACCTATACGAGAGAGAGTGAGGCAGAGAGAGGGGGGGGGGAAAAGAGCAATGAAAACATAATTTAATGTGACGTTCACTCGTTCCACGAAAGAGAGAGAAAGCGTTAGTGAGAGTAAGAGAGAGAAAGAGAGAGAGAGAGAGAGAAGATGAGTGCTCGTTGTTAGCGCCTTGAGAAATTGCCAGCAGAATTTCTGGCGCATTGTGTGCCAAACAAAGGCGCGCATGCAAATGTGAACTCAAGCATTAATAATATCACATTCAAAGTTTTTGGCACAGCAAATGGATAAGTCGAAACAATAGTTCATATTGCTGGATGCTGGTGCTGGCCGACAGCGAAAGCTGCACTGAATAACTGTGGAAGCTGTCATTTGCACGAATCGTTGGAATGCTGAACAAACAAGTGTGCATTATGTTGACAGATAGTATTATAAGCATCCTAGGCCCTAACATTTCTTCCGCATGTTTATCCTAACGTATTTAATTATGCTCACTTAATTTCGAATGCCTGCCAAAATAACTTAATTTATGTTGATACCTTTTTAAATGGTTTTTGTGTCGGATCTCATCAAATCAAACACTGTGCTGCATGTGTTTGTTCGCGGATTCCGCTACATCGTCTTCGTTCACACAATTTCAATTAAAGTTTCACTACAAAATTCGTATCGTGTTATCGTACTTGATTAAATGGCTTAGGAATTGTTTCGTAGATCGTTAATATTTTCCTTGAAGAACTTTTCGGAAACTGAATATGAGGAGAAAATATGGCAAACTTTGTATCTAACAACGTACTAGATCCGAGTATTTGTTGCTGTTAAAATAACACGGAGTCATCAAAAGTTTGGCAGAAGAGTTGTAACGTGTTTGTTGTGTGTAGGAAATGCGGATGAAAATATGCACGCAGAAAAAAGAAAAGCAACTACAAAATCGCTCAACAAGTATTGGATATGTGTGCAACACCCATGGGGAGCGCGATGGCACATGACGATCCGGTTAAAATTTACAGCTCGTTTCCCATTCTCGGTTTAGCCATTTTATTTATTTATTTTATCCCCGAAAATGCTCCATTTCGCTTGCCGTTTTTAGCACTACATGAAATGTAGAGCTACTTATCTGCTTTTTTTTCCTAGATACTTTTTGAGTGTTGAAACAAATTATGGTAAATTTGAATTTTATGCTCATATTTTTTATTTAATTTAAACCAAAGGCAGTATATTTCAAAAAAAGAAATTAAACCAAGATCTTGTAATTCATTTTGCAAATAAATATATTACTTCAAAGTTACTTTGATGAAATACATTTCATGTAGTGCGCCAAAAAAAAGTTTGTTGTGAAACAACAAAATAGATTAAGTAACTAAAAACTCAAGAACGCAGAGCGGAGCGAAGCGAAGCTCTGCGGTCTTGTTTCTCTCTCTCTCCTCGTTTTGTATTCCGTTTTGTAGCGAATATATATCAGTAAGTGAATCTAACATTTCAGCAAAAGGATTTAAAAGGGACTTTTTGTTGGCAAAGTGTGGAACAATGCTCTACAAATGCTATAAATTATGTTGGCGCAGATGCTCCTGACATTTTAAGGCGAAAATGTTATCATGCCAAAGCTATATTGAGTTTTGTTCCGATTCGTCGGCTGAAGCACCATTGCACGATGCGCTAGACATTCACTTTGCAAACAGAAAAAAGAAAATGTCTTGAACTGTATATACATTTAAAATGACAGCTCACGAATCTACGTTTGAATTTCGAAATGCATTAACCAAACCGCTAACACATTTTTTTGTCCTATATTTTGTGTGTGTGTGCAGCAAGTTCGTCGGGGTTTTTCAATTTCCTCAATCGCAGTAGCAAATAGCACGACGTAAAAAAAAAGTTCAACTCACAAAGCGAAATGCATCGAATGTGTGTTTGCATTTATTTATAGAGAAGGAGAAGAAGAAAAAACATGATTTGCTACAAGTTATTTTCGTTTGATTCCCTTACCTGCTCCCTGTCCTGTTACTTTGCCCGTGTCCATGCCACTGCCTTTGAGAATTTCCACAAGTTCGCACCGAAATGCTGAAATGTCTTGCTTGATCTCGTTCACATCGTCCTCGGTGACACCTTGTGATTCAGCCTTACGCTGCTGCACCGTTACATAGCGTCGCACCAAATTTCGCATTATTTGCTGTATTTCGTCAAGCCACCGCAAGGAAAAGAACATGAAAGTTGAAGAAAAACGTGCGACAAACAACAAAAAATTGAGTATTTACACAATGGAATTGTTTGCATTTCGTACAATAATACACATCCACACACACACGTTCACGCGAAAGGGCGCGAATGGCTTGTAGGTGTTGTGTGCAAATAAAATGAAGAATAAAGAGAGAAAAACATGGACATGAAAACTGAACAGTGAACAGTTTGCCTACTCACCTGATACTTGAATTCACGTTCATTTGCTTGTTTTGCTTTCTTCTGTGACAGAATGGGGGAAGAAAAACAGCGGAATAATCGAATGAGCTTGGTAAAATGGAATTAAATGCATCATGAATGGGCGCAAACATAAAAAAATATACATATGATTTTCAACATTGAAGCGAACAATGGCTGGAAACATTTTCAATTTGTACAACGAATAACAACGCGCGAGCAATAATCTTCTGACAAATCATTTCATTTCAATCTTTACGAGAGTTTTTTTTCCATAAAAAGAATATCGCAACTCGAGTTGTGTGGGAATTTCAACGAACATAGATCTAGCAAATCCCTTTTTTTCGACTGAAAAATCCGAAAATTATTACAAAAGTTTGCATATATATCTTCTTCGGTATCACGTTCTTACATTCACTGTCATTCATCGAACAAAGTCTGGATTTTGAACGGTTTTGTTGTTGACTTCGCTGCGATTTTCCGAGCCGAAAAATCAGAGCTCATTCGAAATTATGCAAATGTTTACAATCTGCATATCTATGTATGAATTTATTCATTTAATGATTCAATTATGATTCTCGTTTTTTTTTTCTCTCGTTGACTACTGGCTCTGTGCTTAGTGAAGACTCCTTATCACATTGTTGGCGTTGGATTGGATTGGCGTTGCTATTCGGTTGCGTGCTTTGAACTCAACTTCAAGCGACGATCATATTTCATTCATGTCTTATACATTAACCGTCTATTGAATACAAACTCTCCTTTCGATCCAATGTGTTCCAAATGATTATCATTTATGCTAAAAGCCCGGGCATGGTTTGCTGTCATTCGGGATTCAGACGTACTGGGTGCCATTGGTGCAATAATAATAATGAAGGCAAACATGTTTGTCTTGTGTGCAAACATCAAAATTACAATGATGGACACATATATCTTCTGTGCACATTTTTTTCCTGCTGCCAAAATCACAAGAGTGTTTTGTTATGTTTTGTTGTAGTGTGAAATGCGACGATTATACACACAGAAGTCGTACATAGTTAAAATGGGAATGAATCCAGCACATGGCGCAAATCGTTCGTTTAATGTAAGCCATCAAATGCAGCGAATAATCATTTTAGCAGCCGTCACTCCAAAAGTGTGTACAATGTACACTGTACATTGTACATGAATATGGAGCAAATTAGACAAGTATTTCTCCACTGAGACGTGCCCAACTAAAACCTTGAAAATACCAGGAACATAGGAAATGCAAACCTAGGCCCCCTATGCATAGGAGAGTCTTTCTTAATGAGTAAATAAGACTACTTCATGCATCATGTACGATAGCATTTCACAACACAGCACATTGATGATGACTCGAAAAGTGATTTGCGTTCCAGCCGCTTTTTGATACCCATAGCGAAAACATTTAAAAAAAGAAGACACCGTTTTACGACCTCTATGCGCTCAGCCATTGCCGTTAATCGTTTGCAGAAACAAAGAGAGTATTCGTTCTTCTTCCTGCATTTCAATACATTTTCTCAGATTCATGATTTCCTGCTTAAAAAACGATGAAAATGCAATTTGGAGCATTGTTGAGAAGACTTCCAAAATTGTCGTTTATTCTTACGGTTAATACCTAATTCATAGCTAATGTATAAAAAAACGACCGAAAAAACAAGGGTTTTACGTCCATGGACGACGTTTTTTCTTCTCTCCTGTCAATGTTCGCTGATTAAACGGTTTTTTTTTAATATTCTCCAATTCTCAAACGTGATTCGGCGTCAAGAGGAAAAAACGAGGATGCTGAACAACAAACCGGAAAGAGACTGATGAGCACAACATTATGTAGGTTGTGAAACGAAAAAAGCACTATGTGTACGATAAGCGAAGAAACAAATCTTCGTCAAAACATATTATCTAACTGGCTGACTGGGATAATAGAAAATGGTTTTTAGTTCTAACACTCTACCCTCCCCTTCCTTATCGTTTTGCCGTCGACATTGGCAGTGAATGTGGGAAAAAGGAGATGAGAGACACGTAAATCGTCTTGCACACCGCCGAATAGCTATTCAGATTATCACATCTTGTGCTTGTAATGTTTT